AGGTAAATATTGGTTGTGGATTGGAGCCGTTTAGATTGGTTATTTGGTAGAGAAAGACAATGTAAAACTGAGTCGTAAAAGCAATGTTTAGAAGATTTTGAAGCGAGCTTCCACGATAATTGATATTGGAGCTTCAAGATGGTGGATTTTGGCTCAAGAATTGCTCTGAAATTAGGCAAAAATGAGTAGAAAGTAAAAAATGAATTTGTTCAACTCGAAATTATTTTGCTCGAATTTGTTCGTGTGATTTTGGACAATCTTGTAACCGGTTGGACAAACCAAGAACGCTGGTGTGACATGTAGATGAAAGCAATCTCTCAATGGTGGCTACGTGTGACTGACGGTGGCGAGTGGCGATGGCTCACGACAACCACACGCAGAAATCCAGTGAGAGAGTACTGGTACATGAGGCACTTTCCAACGATATCTTTTTTGATAGATTATTCCAGACGATAGGACGGACCTTGTTGTAGTGTTCAATTTCTGTTTTGGATAAAATAGTGGTTCTGGACAGTTTTGTCCCTTACACGTTCGGGTTCGTCTTTTGCTTGATTGGTTACCACAGTTGTTAGAGATAGTATGAACAATGGTGGTCATAAAGTGATAAATTTGCATATCTCATTGTTCATGGACTCAAATTTGCCCACTTTGATATATTGGTTTATCCCATTTAAATTTCAATATTAGTGAGTCACAGTGTGGGGGTAACATTACGATTGGCCGTGTGGGTTAACAATTGTTTGTGCTAGAAATTTAAGACTTATTTTTCATATTTGAAGCGTTGAATTTTTTAAACTACAAGTTGATGATTGCTTTTGTGTTTTAATTGTTTTCAAGTAACTGCGTGAGACTACATTGTGTGAGAAACATAATTTTTTGTTGACATACATTTGCATTGCATTGGTTATCTTGTTAGAAGACTTGGATTTCAACTGTTTGAAAGTTTCCTTGATATTAAGATCTCGAATTTCACGAAACCCTAAAAATCTAGAACGATGTATACTGCAACTTCAAGATTATTATGTGTGACCTATTTATGCACTTTGGTTATTCTATTTCTCAAAATGTCTTCACATTTTGCAGTTAAAATTTTCAATGGAAAAATGAATTTTTCAATTTGGTAACAAAAAATGAAGGAAATGTTGGTTCGACAAAAAATTTCACAAGTCATAGATGACAAATTTCCTACAAATTTGACAAAAGTACAAAAAAGAAGAATATAATGAACTTTCTTACACTTCAATTATTTCACATCTATGATCTTGTTTTGAGAAAAGTTAGAATACTTGATTTTAAAACCTTGAAAAAAGTTGGAGAACTTATATTTACTTAAGTTTACTCCTAATAAATTGTATTTGCATGATAGATTTTTCAATTTTTGAATTGATCCTTCAAAGGATCTTGATGATAATTTTGATGTTTTTAACAAATTTGTTCAAGCTATTGTCAATTGTGCTAAGAATGGGTTTGAAATATCTAATGATCTTGCTTATAATTCTATGTTTGACTCATATAGGAAGGTTCAAAGTATATTTAAATATGGTAGCAATACCCTTACATCTGGGATTGTCATTGATTCTCTTAAACTCAGAACATGTGCATTTCTTAATTCTTGTGAAAATGGAAGACTTTCATCGTCGTCATCCAACTCAAAAGATCTAAAGAGACCATCTGATTCTTCTTCTTCGGTTTGATACTAGGGTAGTTGGGATGTTCTAGCTTGGTTTCGCAGATTCGTCACACCCTTCTTTCTCATCTATTCTTATGAAATCAAACCTCTCGAGGCTCCTACTCTTGGCTACCTTGGAGTAAACTGTGATTGTTGGGACCTATTTATAGGCCTTGAAGGTCCGATCCGATCATAAGCACTGATGAACCTTTGCTGTTATAGTTCTTGTGCATATTCAGAGAGGGAGTTTCCCACCTCCTGCGGTAGGTTACATCTAGACCTAGTTGGGGCATAGCTTGAGGATACATCCATGCCCACTTCCTTTTCACTTGGACTCAGCTCCCTTGTTCAGCCTTGCAGATAGGCCACTGTGTCATCCTCCCTTTGAAAAGTTTTTTGTTGAAGAGCTTGATATCCTGCTTGCCCATGCATCTACATAAGTAGCTGTTGCATAATAGTGTCTGGGCTAGGTTTCTCATGTTTTCTGCTATTTTCCCTACTTTTCTTGCCAGACGCGTAGTAGTGCCGCCTCGTCGACATTGGTGATGGGGTCGATAGATGGTGACATATGTTCAAAGGACTTCTTCTTTTGAAGCCTCATGTTGACGCCTTCTGCTTTGGGAACCATAATGACTAGTGTTCAAGGTGTATCACTGATCCTTGTGTTAACAACAAATTCCAACAAACACTTTTCATGATGCATTTTTCCTGCATTTCCCTCCTCCCTTTTATTTATTTATTTTTATTTTTCAACAAGTTGAACCTTTCTTCAAGGCTCGACTGTTGCATGATTCTTCTTGAGATGGCTTTTCACCACTAAGATGTCCGTGGTTGTAGTGTGTGATTTCTCACAGACGGTATTAATCTATTGACTTCAAAAAATGTACCCTTTGACGTGTCAACAGATCCAAAAGCTTCTCACATCCACGCAAGCTTTGCTCCTGCACACTAGGATAAACCATTGGCCATACGTGACCTTATCCTGAGAGGGTGGAGTCGGGTGCACATACTTTGACGGGTGAAGTCAACTTTGGGAGAACAAGTATATGAGTGTGGGAGAGTTTTAAACATGAGCCTCCAAAATAAAGGAGGTTGGCTTTGGGAGTATTATAGACATCGTTTGGCCCCCATTTCCTCAAGTTAAATTACATTATTTGCAATTTTCAACGTGAAACGTGGCCCCACAACCTGACAATTCAGACATTATTTGCAATTTTCAACGTGAAACGTGGCCCTACAACTTGACAATTCAGACATCACATCGTCTGGCATATTACTTTGCAAAACACAAAATTACCACTTTGGGCTGCCAACTACTCCTACTGGCCGCAATTTATTAGAGTTGAAATTTCCATAAAAGACAAACAATATACAATGGGAAGACAAGTTAGGACCCATGTATTTCAAACTGACCACGTTTTTGCAAACCACAACATTACCACTTTGACATCCCAACTACTCATATTGGCCGTAATTATAACACATTATTTTTTCATAGAAGACAAAAACTAATGAGAAGACAAGGTAGGACCCACTTATTTCAAATTCAGACAAGTTTTTCACGTTTACATAACCCAAGCTTTTTAACGGTGTCCCCCGTTTCGGATGAAAATATCACTTAAGGGCTTGAGCTATATAGTCACGAAGTCGTGTCCACGGTACATTCTCTTCCCCAATTGCATGCTCTTCGCCCGCAAATTCGTCATCCTCAGTTGGGAGATCGACCTCGACTTCCTTGTCCTCCGCTTCCTCTGCTCTACGAAATCCTTCGTCGAGGCTTCCATGTCGTCGCAAAAAATTATGAACGGCCATCGTTGCCACGACAACAAAAGTTTGCGCTCTGAACGAGTAGCTCGCATTCGATCAAGAATTTTCCACCTTTGCTTCCAAACGCCGAACGTCCGCTCAATAACATTACGACAGGAGGAGTGATGGAAATTAAACCTCTCGCGTGCATTTCAGAAACGTCGTCGGCCACCATTGCTGTTCTGAAATTCCTGAAAGTGATACCGTATGTCGGATCCTTTGTAGGGGGCCATGTACCCCGGTCAGTGTGTAAAACCCGAGTCCACTAAGTAGTACTTTCCATTCCTCGGTTCCGAAAAACTCACATCCGGGCTATGGACGCAACGAGCCAGAATACGGCTGTCATGGGCATTCCCAGGTGTTCCGGCATTACGAACGTGAAACACAAGTTGAAATCGCAAACGGCGAGCACGTTCTGAGTTGGATATCCTTTTCTGCCAATGAAGTCTGCCATTGTATGTCGAGGTAGAACCGCGCGAATGTGCGTGCCATCAATCGCACCTATGCAGTCCTACATGCAAAACAACATTTCACCAACAAAATATTTAAAAAAGAAAATGAGCACTTTGTTACGCAAATGATAGGGAGGACCTAACTTGAAACAGTGGATACTGGCCATGGTTCGGTCGGTGATGAAGCACGCCATCATTGTAGCTGTGGTGTGGTTTTATAATATCGGCTCCTAGTGCAACAACGCAGCGAAGGACACGCCTGAAATACTGCGAAATGGTTTGTAAAGAATGACCGAACAGGGTTTGAACTTGGCGATATCCTTTCCCATGTGCTAAAATGCATAGGAACATTCCAACTTGTTCAAATATATCTATGTTCGAACTACTCGTCAATCCGTAATGATCGCGAAGGGTATGAGTGAACAGTGCGAACATGGGAGGATACATTCGAAACTCCTGGAAGCATGTTTGGGGGGTACACATGCATATTCTACAACATGAAAATATGTCCGCTGCGTGTCGTAGGAAATAAGAATCGTTGCTCCCTTCTCGGTGAGAGATAATCTCTCACAACGCGTTCGACGATACGACAGTACTGCAGCCATTCCAATACGTCGCCTTCCATCTGCTGCATGATATCATCGTCTGACTCTTCATCCGAACCGGAGAGTGAAGTGATAATGCAGTCCATTTCGGAAGACAAACTACGAGGAGAGTCGTTCGTCATCTCCAATAACGACGTATTGGCCAGCTGAGGCTAAGCTACTGCAGGAGGACTTAGGATGCTTACATTGCCATCCCAAATGAATTATTGTTCCACTCTCTGTGAACTTACAAGTTTCATTTACGTTTGTTGCAAGGCCATTTATAGAAGGGCGAATATGTTAGTGCATGACCAAGGAACACCCACCACATGTTTATGTAATTGTATTGGAGGTTGACAGGAGGGGTCAATCTCAAAACAGGAATATATTCTCTGCATTGTACTTGGAATATATTCCTCATGCATGCTTTCAGAGATAATACATAAAGGAAGATCACGCGGTGACCCTACACACACGTGAAGTTTAAAAATATTAAATTACAACGCAGGAACATGTCACCAAGTCTGGACCGAAATTACTTGTAACTCATACGAATAAAAACAATTGAACCTATAAATAAACTCACATACACGAGCAACTGACATCTACAGTCTACGCCGAGCCCTCGACGACGTTGCTTCCTTCGACTTTTTGTTGCGTTCGAAACAGTACTGCATCCATGCAAATCGAAGCTCCAGCGTTTCAGCGGCAGCATATGCTGCACGATTGGTCACGTCTCGAAAGAATCACAAAGCAAACAAATGAAGCTCGTCCCCACTTTGGACGAGCTTGGTAGTCAGCAAATCATTCACGCAATCTGCTATTGTCATTACACCTTTGTCTTGGGAGTGAAGGGCAGATGCAAACTCCCGTGATGCACTAGCCAAATTGTCCACAGATTCGGATACCTCTCTAGCTCCGAACTTCTTCTTCTTCCCCCTCCCCTGTGCCTGCTTCCCTTTACGCTTCTCACCACTTCGGCCAACAGAAATGTCCATCGTAGAGGTCAGTTTGTCCTTCGCCGGCCCGTCACTTGAGTCTGTAGTCTCTGCATTGATCGGCAGCATGTCATTGAAATCTGCTTGTGTATCGCAGTCCGAGCTTACATCCAGACCGTGTTGTGACAGTTTCGTCGGCGTTAATGCGTACTTCGTGGAGTCTTGAATCACACCAAACAGTTTTCCGTATGTGTGGAAAATTTCGCTGTTTTCGTTGTAGCGGAACTTGCTGTACTTTGGATTTTCCTGCACAAAAGGTACTAACACGTGGTTAGAACACAATACAAATCCGAAAATGTTCCAGTTAGGCATATACATCTTACAGGCAGTACACCAGTCAAGGAAGCACACAGAACGACCCGCAACATTACCGCACACCAATGACAGAAACGTTACGGTTGAGCACCGTTCTCACGGGCAGCAAACCAGTCATGGAAGCACAAAAATCGCGCAGGCGTTTTAGATACTCACAAATGCAGGTTACATCATGCGTATTGGCAGTTACAATTACCAGACATTGTTTTCATATTGTGCTTAACGAAGGTGATGGACCAAAACGATATTCTCAGATAACAATTGAATATGGCTACCATGCAATGCATATGGCCACGATATTGTGATAGCAGGCAAAACATACAGAAATTCTAATTTAACGTTTTCAAATCAAGGTTATGCAACGACACATTTTCGTTGAAACACAGGCAACCATTTGAATGTTGAACTGGACAAATGGATTTTGAACCGTACATTACCTTTATTTTCTGCTCCCACCACCAATCGTCAGCTTCGATTCTGCCCCCTGAGTTCAGCCCGTAGTGAATCCCCGTACATCGCAGCAACTCCATCAGCAGCTTATGGTCCATTCGCATAATGCCCTAGTGGTTCTTCAGTTGAGTGACTGTCCAATCCTTCCCGGCACGTTTGTTGAACAATTCTCGGATGCGTTCCCATCCTGCAATCGTGAAGCATTTACCACGACAATGTCCTTCGGCAGTTACGTACTCTACCACAGAGATGAAAATGCGGTGTTCTTGGGGATCCCACTCGGCACACTTCCGACCGTCGGTCGTCCTGTCGGATCGTCGAGAAGGAGTTGCTGCGGGTACTGGCTCTACCCATGTGGTGTTGTAGCTCTGTGAATGACAAAGAAACATGGTTAAACATGGTGTTGCAGATACAAAAGTGAAAGGGAACGAATAGAAAAAAAACAGAACCTTCACTGCCTGCAAGTTTCGGACACAAGATGTTCATAAAAGGGTCAAAGTTCGGAGTCAGGAGTAGAATATTACCATGTTATCTGGAAATTGGCCCCAGTGCGAGCCTTCGTCGTCCATGCCGTGAACGAGAGGGGGCGTTCCGTCGAAAGTTATGGTGCGGTAACAGACCTTCGTGTCGCCGGAGGACAGAATGGTAGATAATCGACTTTTTCGTCAAGGGGGTTTTGATCCAGGCGAGTTAAATGGTACCGTAACGTTAACGTCGTCGGCGTATTTGCGTTGTCCGGCGACTGCACCGATTGAATTTGGGGTCGTCTTCGAATGGAAACAGAAACAGTGCGAAATATGAGAGAAACTCGTGAATTTGGCTACAAATATCAGGGAAGGGGCAGATTGGGAAATTGGTGTAGCCATGTGGGGAGAATTATGTCATTTGGCAAGTAACGTTCACTTTGAAAAATGGGATACCTACAGACTGATAACTGAGTTCACAGATGTGGCTCCCACCTCAGTCAAAGAAAGTGGTTGAAAATTTGTAAATAATGTAATTTTAACGTGGAGAAATGGGGCTCAAACAGGGGCATAGAGAATAAAGAGAGCAAAGTTATATTATGAAAGTTTAAACTTGTATTACCCTGAAATAACACCAAATGTGAGCTTTTATTGTATAGGAGAATGAATAAGGATCGTTGGATGAAAAGACACGTGGCCTTATCCATGTTATTGGAGCTTCCGATAGTGGGCATCAAGCAATCATGGGACATAAATGCTATTACCACATTTTCATCCATAAATCCTAACTTGTGTCAATAGACTTAACTAAACAAATTGGCTTTGGGGGCAATGGGAGGAAGTTGTCACATCAATAGATTTAATTATAAGTTTTTCTGCCAGGTTCTTTCATCAGTTTCGCCTCAACTCACCGAAGCTCTTGCATGAGGGCTCATCCACATGGGTTCGCATACATGGATTCGGCCGTGTGGGCCACATCCAGAGCCTCGTTGCGAGAGGCATAACAATTACCATTTTAACTCATATTTGCATCATTTGCTGGTTTATTGATTAGTTGATTGCACATGCAGCATTTCCCATCCTGTTGGTTATTAATCATGTTTGATGGAATTTATGTTTCACACACACGCAATACCTTTTTATAACATCTGTATGGAGAACGTTCTCATATTTATCAAGATCTTTTTCTATTGAATTAGAATCCCTCTTTAACAAAATAAAACATTGACTTTCTAATGGTTAAATGGACAGTTCGAACTAAATACTACTCCCCCACAAAAATAATGGGATGGGAGGAAGGAGAGAACCGGGCATTTGAATGTCGGAAAACCCACTTGGCAGGCGCCAAGACACCTATCACAACCAAGATTTGTTCAATACCTACCGTCTATTTTTTTTTGGTTCAATTTACGTCCTTAAATTGAAAATATTAAGTTAAGCTGATATTCTTGACCTTTGCAGCCATGATTTACATTGTTCGAGATGTTCACTCAACCCCACTGCAATTTAACAAACTTGTGTGCTTGATGTACGTCTCGTTAGAATTACAACGTAGTGAATGGAGGACATGTATTACTTTATAAACAATATACTAATCTCACAGTAGACCATCAAGTCATGCTTAGAATACTAATTTAAATGATATTAGCAAGTAAAAAAATGAGTAATATGTAAGATGTCGGTTCATTGTTCAATTTACTTCAATTTTATTTAATTTAACGTAATATGTAAGTAATTAATTGATTTTATGACATATCAAGAATTATTGGTATTTGAAATCCCTTTTTGACTGCATTGAAATCAACATAACAAAAACAAAATTTGTACATGGAACAAAGTGAAATTCCTTAAAAGCATAGATAGGACCATAGTTTGTAGCATCGATAGGACCATAGTTTGTAACAAAATTTAGGCCTTGTTCGCTTGATGATGTCGGCCATAATAAAGCTGCAAAGAGACACATTTCCTCATTTCCCTATAATTACAATAACACTTGATTTTTCTTTTTCGATTTTTTCAAAATTGTTTGACAAAACATTTAGGACTAAGTCATATGATAATCCCATGTTTCATGGACCAAATGGGACATGCTTGTTGTGTATGGGACGACGTCGTCTAACCCAACTATAATCCATGGTAACATATTCTGATTTCTTCCCTCCTTGATGATCAGTCCATTTCTTGGGATGCATCAGATTTTTCTCTTTTTGATGTAATTTGTTACCTGAACATGACATGAAAATTTATAGTATTAGAGCATGATATAATGGTTTTTATTGATGTTTGTTCTCACATTCTTATGGCATCTACTCGAACATATTTATGTGTGGGAAAAAAAAAAACACGTTTGGTGAAGAAAATAGAATAAATGAGAAAGGGCTAATAGTAAAAAAATTAGGTATTACTTTACATGATAAATTTGTCCTAAGTGCATCAGCTTTTACTTATATGATACAGTTTTATGAAGGTTATAATTTGTATTGGATCATTTCATTTAAAAGTTTATATTGTTACATTATTAAAGTAGTTAGATCCATTAATCAAACTATAAAATGTATTACTAATTGCTCCAAAGGAAGGCATGATTGAAAATTAATTGGGAACTACTGAAACCAAGAAATCATGCAGAAAGTTATTGAAAATCAACCTACAGCAGCGTCATTATGTACAAGATGATTGAAAGCAATGGCACCTGTTGTAAAAATTGAAAACTTTATGCAGTTAAAAAAATTAAAGAAAATATTAATAATGCCGCGAGCCTAGGCATGCCTTAAAGCGGTCAATGCTTTTGTGACCCCTAAGTTAGCACATAGGTCTTAAGCGTGGAATATTAGCCATGCCTCGAACCTTAGCATTGCTAAGGCACGCCATTTAGAACATGCCTACAGCAGTGTCATTATGTACCAGATGATTGAAAGCAATGGCTCTTGTTGTAAAAAACATTCAGTTTGTTATAATACAAATTAAAGAGGATATTTATGCTCGTGTTATCATCATTTCTGCCCCACCCACACGCCCATCAACCCCTTTTTCATTCAGAAAAAGAACCAGCAGCTAGGAACCCCTAAACTGAAATAGATAATTGTCCTGATATAGAACCTTAAAAATAAATGTATCATTTACTCAAGAAAATCGTTGAAAAGTCATTAGCATAAGAAATATTCACAAGCGCGAGTATGAGTTCAAAAACTTGTGTTCAGAAATTTTTCGTGTGAAATAAGAATGTCAAAATGTTATGCATCACACAACACACATACACGCTTCGTCCACCACTGCTCACATAGAGGCTTCCCTCGAAGACAAATCATAACAAAAAAAGGGATATTCATTACCTTTTTCTAGAGGTTTCTTCATCTGTAATTGATCAGAAGCACAAGGTGCAAGCATAAAAGAAATAAGTAAAAGAAAAGTAGCAAAGATGGTTAACAGTTTCATGGTAAGATGATAAGGTTTTCATTACCTGTGAACCTTCAATTTATAGTAAATCAAGGATGAGAGGAAATGCAGCAAAGAGAACATACACAAAGCACAAAATTCAGAGTTCCAACAATGGTCACAGCTTCTTGTTTTCTTAAAAAAATTAAATTTTTGTTTATGGGATTTATGTTTTATATCATTGGGAGGACCAAAGGCTCGAATTTTCTGACGAAAATATTTGTTTTATGTGTCAAGTAACTCAAATATTTGGAGACAAGCATATTAAACTTAGGTTTGTAAAGCCTATATTGTTAGCTGCTATATGAGCTATGTACATTTCTTACTCCTAGTCAAATGGTGAATGTAGGGTTGACTTGAGTTGTTCCTTGAGTTGAGTTCTAATAGAATTTGCGTCAGAATAGGAACTTAACAGAATGATTTACATATGAGAATCAGAAAGGTTTCAAATTAAATATTAAAGCCCAAGATATTTGATGAATTTTCTAAGAAGAACCAAGTCGTATGTCAAACAGAAAGAAGGCCTCCTTTTCATTATTTTTCCTCCCTTTATTTTGCAGCCCATGTCCTACCAGAAGAGGTTGTTTGAATGAATAATTTTTTATCACCTTTTTCGATTCATTGCTAGATCTAGTAGAAGAATAAGATCCTTAACTCTGCTAATATGTCATTAATAAAACAAAGATAGTCATTTTATCTATGATAAGTGTATTTTATATATTTATCTAGGCCTTTAAATATAGACTTTAGGGATTACTTTTGGCAATCTTTTATATTTTGTGTGTCAAGTCAATTCAGTAATTGGTCGTGAAATCGGAAGAGAAGAATAAAAGACGGCAAAAATGGAGGATTTCCAAGGTTCAAGGACTAAATTGCAACTATTCAATAATTGATTCGAACCACATAATAATGATTGAAGACCGTTGAAAATCAATAGGATGCAAGTGAAAGACAAAGGAGTACAAGAAAAAGGAACTAAATTGCACCTTGGAATAAGTTTAGGGACCAATCCCATAGACGGGAAATAGTGCGCACGCACCATGTATATGGGGTTGTACATGCAACCCAAAACCTGCAGAACCCGAAGGCAGAGCAGGTGAGCCGTGCGTGTGCAAGCAGCCATGCATACGCATAGGGTCTTTTTAGGGTTATGGGTAGTTTCCTTCTACGATGCACATTCCTTTTGGTAACAACTTTAGAAGCATTTCTTGACCTAAATTCGTTTCTACAAGTACAGAACGTGGGAATGACCCTTCGATGACTCTCATTACACATAATTCATCAAATACTACAGTAAACGAGAGGTGATTCGTCATTCTTTGAGAAAAATCAAGAGGCAATATACAAGAAGTCAACCTAATCAAGATTCAACTTTAATTATTGGACAATCAAGAAATCATTGAAGAGATTCGAAACTTCAAGATTTATCCTCTTTTCTTCATTCATCAAAACATTGGGTGATGTTCTACAAAACAATTATGATTTCTTCTAATTTTGTAATGCTAGACTAGACTTTTAGCCACTAGGATATCATAATCCCTTCTTATGAATTTCAATATTTTGACGTCCAATACGTGTTTATTCTTAGATAATTGTTCTAGGATTTAAAGTTTTTCAATTACTTGATTATTAGGTGGATTGATGTGTGAATTTTATTGTTATTGAAGGATACAATAAGATAAATAACACA